TAACATCCTAGAAACATTTAGGATCGTATTCCATGAGGCTTTCTAATGCACAACTACTCACATCTAACTACTCACATTTCGACTAAAACATCAATGAAAGATAGATATGTTTAGGTTTATTTCTATTTTCTATAGGCAAGGAAAGGTAAAAGCGGAAAAGTAAAGATATGTTATTGAGTAGAAAAGATCACTCAATATAAAATGCTTCTCGATTCTCAACCATATCATTCTTCTCAATGAACAACTATTGAATAACTCTATCCCTTCTACTAAATTATTCCAGATCGAGCTTTCGACACATGCGAGAGTAGGGATGGCAATTTTGCCCATACCCATGAGTTTTTAACTATCCAACCCAATTGGGTTGGGTATGAAATCCAAATAAATGGATATGTGTAGAGTTTGATGGGTTCCTACCCATACCCATTTACTTTGGGTTGGGTTGAGTTTATAACAAATGGATTTGGGTTTGTACCCATGCCCAAATAGAAATTACAGTTTGGTACCTAAACTTAATAGATATGCATATTTAGTACCTAAATTTAATTTTTTTTGCATATAAGTCCTCAAAATATCAATGGAAAATTACGTTTTGGTACCTAAATTTTTTTGGTCTTGCATTTTGGTACCTAAATTTTTCAAGTTTTACAAATAGGTCCAATTTTTGCATGTGTAGTTAAAACACCCTCAAGTAAATAGATATCCATATCCAACCCATACCCATTTAGATTATGGAAGCAATATTCATACCTTACCCAAACCCATCTACAAACCCTCCAAACCCATATGCACTTCACCCATACCCAACCCATTATCAATGGGTCTACTTGGGTTTGGGTATAATTACCCATGGGTGGGTAATTGCCACCCCTATGCGAGAGGAACAATAAATAGACCATTCGTGTTTTCGTTTCATGCCATTATTTATCTTATTACGAAAACATAAGTAAGAATAACACTTAGTTAAGTGTGGGCCTCTAGATCCATAACAAAATGTCTATAGCATTGGAGATCTAAGCAATCAAGTATTGAGTTTAAAAATGTATAGGAGGGTGATAAATCCTCTCATACACGCCTAGGTCAATAGCACATCACAAAAAAGTAGTTTCCTAACATCATATATGATATTATAGACAATGAGTATAATAGCATTCAGTAGAATCATAGAATTGAAATCTAAACATCCATGGCAACATAAATATTGACATACTCAAGCAACCGAAGAATAGTATAACACGAAATCATAGAACAAAATAGTCATATTATGACGAGTTCACATTCCTACACAATCAATTCAAGCTAACTAAACATAGACAGGAAGGAGGGTACCATCATCGATGATGACTACATCTCCTTGACTGCACCCCCCTCCTACGGATGTTGGAGTTTCCCCTCGACAGAGTGCTTACAGAATGATTTGTGCTTTTCACAGTGTGTTCTACAACTGAGACCTAGCTCCCTATTTATACTAGTTATAGAAGATGGTTTATTAGTCTTTCCCCCCACTAAGTCAGCCTAAATCCTTATATGAGCACAGGACACATTCTCTTCTGACTTGGGGATGAAGTAGAAGCGTCCCAACGACAGTACCAACCACCGCCTCTTTTCTTCGTGGGTTGGGTTGCTTATGGTCCAATTAACCTCTTGATGTAATTTGGTCCATGACAATTGATGTTGACTGGACCTGTTTTGTGTCCACCGTAGATTCTTGCTTCAGTCTGGGCACAGTCTGGTCAGTAGGTTCCTCTTGGGTTCCAAAAGACTTCTTCACTATCATTCGTCGTATGGTTGAAATATCCCTTAAATTTTCCAATCATGCTCCTTTAGTCTTCAATAATCATCCAAGCTTTGATCCAAAATATTTTAGGTTGTTGTCCCTTTAAAAGCATAAAGATATACCACCACGGGATAAAAAGATACCAAAACACCATCTAGATCTAATGAAAGTTGATTGATCAAATAGCTATGATATTTATAGATAATTAAGTAAACTCTCCTAAAGATGCATTGATAGAAGGGTAAAATGTATCACGTATGAGAGTGATACACTATAAATGGAGTGTTATCAGAGGGACGCGGTGGTGGAATCTAAGTTTTTATTTTTCTTGTTATATTGGATGAAAAAATAAATAACATTTAAGATTAAAAATTCCATGTTAGATATCACATCAATGATGACTATATTTTTGTTGACTATTGACAGTCAACGCTAATAAAAATTGTTCAGAATAAGATTGTGATATTGAAAGAAAAAAGTAGGATACAAGTGATATTTTTTTATAGTTGAGGTGTTGTAAATGTATTAGTCCTTGATTTTAAGTATGGTCACATCGGAAGAGTGAAATTAAATGACTTTTTTTAATTTTCCCTACTTTCTTAATTGACTTTTATCTTCTTTGTTTTAATTTGGGTTTCTAAAATTTTGCATAGATAGAACGAGTTCATTGTTGCAACAAAATTATATTCATTTTCAATAACATTGAGAGAAAATATTCTTGCCACCCATACCGATCTTTACCACCTAGGTAGAACCTTTGTTTTAACTTGAATTTCGGAAATTTTGCCCAAAAGACGAGTCCATCTTGATCTATTGGATCTGCAAATTTATGGAGAAAATAATTTTAAGACCAAATATATCACCAATGGTATTAGACGGTGTGAAAAGTGGTAAATGGTCATTAATATATTCCTTATCGGTCGGTTCAACCTGGTACAGTGGTACCGGTATTAAGCCTTGTTCAAATCCGATAATAATAAAAAAAAATATCCGCTGGTTAGACCAAAAACCGGATTTTAGTATTTTCACACATGTCATCCAAAAGCATACACCCTTGGTAGCACCCATACCAATCTTGTCCACCTTGGTAGTGCCTTCGTTTTAACTCGAATTTTGGAAAAATTTTCCCAGAAGGAAGGAGTCTCTCGTGATCTATTGGATTTACAAATTTACGGAGAAAACAATTTCAAGATCAAATATATCACCCATGGTATAGGGTGGTAACTCGGTGTAGACGGTGATGAAAAGTGGTGAATGGTCATTAATATACTCCTTATCAGCCAATTCAACGGGATACAATGGTACTGGTATTAAGCCTTGTTCAAATCCAATAAAACCCAAAAATACCGGCCAGTTAGACCAGAAACCGGATTTAGTATTTCCATACATGTCATCCAAAAATAAACACTCTTCGTGAGAATTGAACCAAGTACCTCATATTCACTACTTTCAACTTTCAATTGTAGACCAATAGACTATAAGAAAATATGTTGTACATATCAAATTTATTTTATATATCATTGTAAACACTAATAAAAATTCATTTTATATACTTTTACTTTACATATCAAATTGTTTACTATTAGTTATCAATTCCTAACTATAAACTATTTTGTGTGAACTAACTCTTGTAATTACTTCTTTAAAACTAATTTATTTGGTATTGATAAAAGTCCATTTCTCATGTATATTATTAAAACAAGCATAACCGACATAACACTGGTTATACCACAATCGGATTATTCCACTTGCAAACCGATTTGACAGCCTTAAAATTTTGAGTTAAACATAGTTACTTGTAGGGATAAGATATGGTGACTAGGGGGGGTCCTTACTCTTGTTAAATCAATCTCAGCCCTTCAAGCTCTTTAAAATCCAATGGCTCCACTTAATTCAATTTATAGAAGGGCAATGTAGTAATTACATAAATTATTTATTTAATAATTAAAATAAACAGAAAAGTGGCGCCGAACGTCCCTCCCACCCGCGCTCCGCCGGCTGGTCGCCTTTTGGGATTTTCTCCCCCCGACGGCGTGTCTGCACACACACACAGAGAGAGAGAGAGAGAGAGAGAGAGAGAGTCCAACGATGGTGGATTTCCCGGCAGTCAAGAGGCATTGGAGGCAGATTTTTCGGCGGCAGCGCGAGCATTGTGATGTTTGTCGACCTATTTTGTAATGTTTATAAGTCTTGTAATATTTATATCAATTCGGTTTGTATCATTTATCATTCTAGTTTGTTATTTTTGTCTATTGTGTTTGTAATGTTTATATGACTATTTTGTATATAGTGTAATCTGTAATGTTTGTTTGTCTAGTTTGTATACTTTATGTTATAATTTGTAAAGCTTGTATTCATTGATTTGTAATACAAGTTTACCGATTTGTATTGTAAGTAGTGGTATTTTGTATTGTTGGTATGCTTTGTAATGTTTGTTGATTTATTTTGTAATATTTGTAAGTTTTGTTATTTTTGTAATGTTTGTCGGTTTCTTTTGTAATGTTTGTAAGCTTTGTTATTTTTGTCCACCATGTTTGTCATTTTTGTCCATCATGTTTGTATTGTTTTTTGTGGGCTAATTTACACGTTAGGTCACTCAAATTATATAAATCTTTCACTTTTGCCACCCGAATTACTTTTCTTTCATATTAGCCACTAACTTTACGATTCGTTTCACTGTTAGTCACCGGCCGTTAGTTTCCGTCAGACTCCGTTAATTTCGTTAAAATTTTAAGATGTGGCAAACAGAAGTGTTGATTGGACGGATAAAAAGGATAAGTCATGCTAGTTGACCACTAATCAGCCTCACCCAACCAAATCGACCAAAACATGTTATTTAATTTTCTTTTATTTATATTTTCAGGACTAAAAAGAAAACAAAATTAAACCCAACCCCTTACAAATTCCAATTCTCCGTATTTCCTCCACTACGACAAAAACCACCGTCGCCGCGGAAGGAACCTGTGCTTCCCGTCACCACGCGTTCCAGAATCGCAAAACAGGCCGAAGATTATGGGGCTAAGACCGTCATTACAGTTCACGAACAAGAAGCTTGAATTAGTCGGACCGGTATCAACTGTGAGAAAGTAATTAATTGTGGTAGTGCCGAACCTAGCAAATTGAGCTCCAACTGATTGTGTCTTCTCTAATTCACCCACCGCCGTCGCCGCTCCAAGGTCGACGAGATACTGGGTTTTTGTCGAAGATGAAAATTGGTACGGGGCTAGAGTTCTTTCCGGAGGTGGAAATCGGGACGAGGGACTGGGGTTATGTCGGATTTTGGGATTGGGGTTCTCCTCCGCCAATTTCCTCTCCACTTCCTTCCCTTCCGATCTCGGAGAACTCGTGGTTGTATGAGCCATCGTCGCGGCGGTGGAGGAGGTTGTAAGCTAGCTTGAAGTTGGAGATTAGTACCCAGGTGTTCAAGAAAAACCACCCTCTGCCTAGAAAACAAAACAAAAGCCCTGAATTAACGAAACAAAGAAGAGCAAAAAAAAAGGGATAGAGGAGACAAGGAAGAAAGACAATGGATACCTTGGATTCATTGAGGTTGATTTCGTTATCACCAGCCATGCTTGTTTCTTCTTCTCCTAGTTCTTGTTCTTGCTAAGAGAGAGGTGAGGGAGGGGAAGGTGGGAGATGATGGAGGGGAAGGTAGAACCATTCGTTTTGATTTTTTAAAATTTTTTAAATTGCCATGTCAAGAAGTTAATTGTTCTTCCGTTTGCCACGTCATAAAAAATTTAGCGGTGTTAACGGAGACTAACGGTGAAACGAATCGTAAAGTTAGTGGCCAATATGAAAGAAAAGTAATTTGGGTGACAACGTGAAAGATTTATGTAATTTGAGTGATCAAACATGTAATTTAGCTGTTTTTATGTCTAAAAAGTAACATGATTGACTTTTGGATGGAACTCCTCTATATAGAGATGGAGGCTCCAAAGTCAAACATTTCGAAAAGTAATTGACGGAAGAGTAATTCGGGTGACGGAAGAGTATTATTGTTATGTTTTGATAAATAAGGGGTATGTCTGTGCAAAATAATAATAGAGGGGTGCGTTTGTTAATTCACAATAGTAAAGGGGTATAAAATGCTATTAACCCTAATTAAAAAGTTCTTCCCACTTTTTAATCGTTACATTGGTGTGTGCCTAGATCTAAAGACTGGAATGGATTTAGTCAAGTGACTAAGCACCTCCTTAGTGACCTAATCCGCTCTCGTTACTTGTACCCGAATTCATGGATGAAGAATATAATTAGAATAATATAGAAATTAGATATAAACTTTTGCACCGCACACTATCTTCTAGACATTGTAATCAAAATGTACAAAATTGAATGAAATCTATACTTACCATAATTTCAACATCAAATAATACGAACACGCACAATACAGTAGTTATGCTTTCAAGATTTGGAATATTTTTAAATGATTCTTAGTTGCGATTTCACTACTATACGATACGGTTGCCATAACTGTGTTATTCATAAAGCCCGTAAAAATATAGGTCTCTGTAATAAATTGAGATTCTTTGTACCTATTTATCACGCAAATAAAACTCCAAAAGATTAGCCTAAAATTGATTCGAATCATTGTAATCTTCCTAAATTAGAGAACTTAAATTTCACCGGTTCCTAATCTACATGTCTTTGGTTTGGAGATCTGAATACTATATGTATACAGTTGAAGACAAGTCTAAAATTGATTCATACTATTCACATCTTAAGCAGTACAACGAGAGATCTAGACTCAACATGGGTGCAAAGGCTACAGCACTACTTTTTCTAGCTTTATGGTTTATGATCTCTTTCACTCACCGTGTAAACGCCCGCTACAAATCGGCTACAACTATTCAGGTATGTAAACAAACTACTTACCGTTCTTCTCGTTAGCTGTATATTTACTTGATTGTATTCTTGACTACTGTTTCGTGGTCCGTCAAACAGACCACGAATGGAGAAACGTACAATTGCGTCGATTTCTACGAGCAACCTGCATTCGATCATCCTTTACTCAAGGATAACAAATTCAACTTTCAGGTCTGTCACTTGTTACATACAGATTTTTATTTTTAATTTCCTCGAGTGGCAACAATTGTAACGACTTAAAATTGGTACCCTCGTATGCAGCCAAGCTCTTCCTACTCTGTAGATTCCTCAGGATCGTCGAACAAGAAGCAGAGTGATATATGGCTCAATGGGAAAGGCTGTCCAATTGGCACTGTTCCGATCAGGAAAACTACGAGAGATGATCTCTCGAGGGCAGAGTCGGCTGCTGAAACAGTACATACAAACACAAACGACAACTTGCATCCTCAGCGCTACATAGACGACAACCCAAATGTTCATGTAAGTGTTCTATGATGTGCACGTATTTTATATCATTCAACCATCGCAAAAAAACAAGCACTATATGTAATTGTTCGTTTACAGGTCGCGGTGCTTCGAACAAGTGAAGAGAAGAAATACTATGGTGCTGGAATGATCACGAGCGTTTACAATTTTGCTGTCAGTAGCCAACAGTACAGCTCCAGCCGCATCAAACTTCAGAACGGCCCCGACAGCATTGTCGTTGGATGGACAGTAAGAAAAAAAAATGGAAAACAGACCATTTACTCTGTTTTGAATCCTCTAATTAAGAAGCAAAGTATAATCTTTCCTTCTGTTTGATCTCTACCTGCAGATCAATCCAGGGCTCTATGGTGACAATGCAACTCGCCATTTCATATACACAAGTGTAAGTTCTTAATTATCGCTTGTGTGCAATGTGCATTGATTTGATATCTGTTTCCATCAACCTAAGGAAAGAGTTGTGCTTCTGCTAATTCAATACTTTCTTTTCTTATCTAACCATTTCAGACCAAGGACTCGCATTGTTACAACACGTTGTGTCCCGGATTCATACTCATGTCCCCCGACACTCCTTTTGATTCTGTTCTTCAAGTTTCTGAAAGAGAAAAGAACATAAGGGGCCAGAAATTCTTCGTCCGCAAGGATGCTGCAAGTGGGGATTGGGTTCTTCAAATCGGACTGGACAACACAACAGTTGGAACATGGCCACAGAAGATATTCAGCAAACTGAACGACTCTGCAACTTATGTCGACTGGGGAGGAGAAGCATACTCTGCCTCTTCCGAAGATCTTCCACCGATGGGTTCGGGTTTCCCACCGATGCGAAGTTCCGTGCTCGATGGCTATGGCAGGCAAGTCACGCTTGTAGATGAGAACCAGCAAGTCGATTACAACCCACCAGAGTGTGTGACATATACGAGTGATAATAAGAGGTACAAGATATTTGATGAAGGCAATGTGGGAGGAGAAATCCAGCGTCTTATTGTGTTTGGTGGAAGCTCTGGTCCAGCTTGATCTTTAGTTAGTTCTATTTTGGTTTGGTTTGCTAGTTTTATAGTGGAAAGACTTCTAATAAAATCGATCTCGATTCGTGATGTAATTTAAGGTCCTGATTTATTTTTTTTGGACTTTTCGTATATTAAATGACTAGTTGTTCGGATGAATTTTGTTACTAGCTATCTTAGTTTGGATAAGTGTTTGACTCATACAGACAAAAATGTTAACCCGCTTGAGTCAATACGTGTTGATGCCTACTCCATTGTTCACTAAATTGTTGAATTGCATCGTTCTAATTCTAAATTTATATTGACACATAACCATAACTTTTTTTTAAAGCAAGTTCAAGAGCTCAACTCTTTGTTAGGTCCCGTGTTGACCTTCATTTATCAAACCTCAAATGCATGCTTCTATGTCTTGGCAAGTTGGCATAGTCTCAAACAAAAAATTAGAACTCTTTATCAATGAAAATGACACGTTATCTAAATGAAGATTGAATTTGTCTTCTCCTACTTACAAGCCATAGCACATCATTAACGGGTAGTAATTAGACAGTTTTACAACCCTCACATTGCTCTATTTTAATTGCTATTTATTTAGTTACTGTCTATTAGTTGTTAGCTGTTAATTGTTGTAGGTAGGGTTTCCATCTGCCGCTTATATAAGCTGCCTGTAAATGCTTTTTCCAATATAATGAAATTTCAAATTTCTTCAAACCATATTCTTATGGTATCAGAGCAGTGAAGCTCTTTGCTAGGGTTTCTCCATGTTTACCACTTCTGGACAAATGTCCACCACCATTTCTTCTTCTAACACAGCAGACCAATTGGTTCCACAATCCATTGTGTCGATCAAGTTCAATGGGAAGAACTATAACCTCTGGAGCATATCTATTCGAATCACCCTTAAGACAAGGGAAAGGCTTGGCTACATTGATGCAACCTTTGAAGAATGGGATGCAAACAATACTCAGGTACTAGGCTGGCTACTTAACTCTCTTGATGAATCTTCTGCTGAAAGTGTACCTAGTACTGAAAATGAATATGAGATACGGGAAGATTTGAAAATGAGGTATGGCCAAGCAGATGTAGTTAGGCTAGTAGATCTGCATACGCAAATCTACTATTGTAAGCAAGGGATCTCGAGTGTCACTGAGTACTTAAATATGCTTAAGACATTGCGGGAAGAGTATGTGTAGTATATGACAGTTGTGTCAAGTTCATGTACCGAAGCAGGTTGTCCTGCATCTGTGGCTTTGGAAACCTTAAAGGGATATATTTAGGATGATTATTTGCTGAGATACATAATTGGATTGAATGAAAATTATGAAGGGATTTGTACATATTTGTTGATGATGAAGCCTATGCCTAGCATAGGAGCTGTTTTAGTTATGTTCTGCAACATGAAAGGCAACTTAATCCACAAGGAGTTGGATCCAAGAAAGATGAAGGTGTATCCTTAGTTGTTGATGGCAGAAGGGTAAAGATCAAAGGAGAGGCCAACCACAAGTCACATGCTTATTCTGTAGGTATTGCAAGAAAGACAATCATGTCAAAGAAGACTGTTGGAAACTCAAGGCCAAAAATAGAAAAATGATGGAGTCAGGACACAATTTTGCTGGATTTGTGAGCACTCCTGGAAACAATAGCAATGGAGATTCATCTGAAGAAGAGAGTCAAAGTTTCATAAATTTAAAATTCAGCATAGATGATTACAGTAGAATACTGAACTTGCTTCAGTAATCTCCACCAGCTTCACCAAATAGCCCTAGACCGAACTCACATGGAGTCATGCCTCAAACTAATTCTGTCATCAGGTGCACTTGCCAAGTTTCCCTAACTTTGCAGGAAAGTTTACTCTTTCTACATGCACCAAGTCAAATTTGTTGGAGTTGAGTGATGTATGATCCTTTATCATGCTTTTTAAAAAGTATAAGCATCTAATGATCATAATTACTTATGTATTTTTCCCTAAGAGAGAGAGAGATGAGAGAGAGAGTGGGGGGTGAGAGTCCTGGTGAGTGTTCGTCTTTTTACAGGTACGCGGCGGTGGATCGGGTGTCAGCGGGTAACAATTCATCGGAATTTCGTCAGCACAGGTCGGAAGCTTTTCATTTCAAGACGATATCTGGACACAGAACTGTTGTCATCGAAGACTATGTTACAAAAAGGAAGAGGCTTATTAGAATTTCGTCAGATGAACCTCGGCGTAGGAGATTGATTTATTTGGAAGTGTCCCAGGCTGCGTGGCTCGGTAAAACACTAAATGATATATCGCAGAGGGGCTGGGAATCAAACTCCTTTCTCCGGAGGACAGAACCTTCTCGTGCCATCTCTGTCGACAGATTCGCTTGCCGGGAAGGATATTTTCTTAAAATCTCGGAAAGAATCCCGACTGGTAGAGTGTTCTCCATATGCATTCCATTCGTCCCTAGTGAGTGGGGAGTATTGATTAACAGGCTGAACCAACAGGAGATTAAGTCCTATCCGAAGAAGCATATAGAGGAACGCCTGGCTCGTTCAAGGAAAATCCTACGCTGAGGCTGTTAAGCAGAGCTTCCCACTGGAAGAGGCGAAGAGCGCCATCAAAAAACATAATTCCCTACCCTTCCTACAGGTTGAAGAGAATGGAGTTCCTGATAGATTGCGTTTCCTCGACCGATGCCTTTCGATCAGCTTCTTTGATAAAAAGAATCAGGGTCTACCATCCGCTCTTTCGGAAGAATTTATGCACTGGACTAGAAGGCGTTGGAACCTGCCTGAAGAAACGAGCTTCTCTAATAGGGTTGGGGATCTCTGGTTCCTAGTTTGTACTTCCTTGCCTGAAGCTATGAGGGTCAAAGAAGATGGTTATGCTAAATTTCGTCATTGGAATGTCATCCTTAGATATTGGAAGGAGGAGGACGGGCGTTGCTTCGCGCCGCAGGGTGGTCTTCAGTGGGTTTTGGTTTTTGGCATCCCTCCGTTTCTTCGGTCGGCGGATGTATTCAAGAACATAGGTCAGATGTGCGGGGGTTTCATAGACGCCGATCATAGTGCCTGGTCTGATCCATACGTCCGTATCAAGATTCGACCAAGGGGTGTTCTGCCGGAAATCCTGCCGATCAGGTTTGGCAGCACAGTCTTCGTAGCCAAAATCATTCCGGTGCCAGAGATTGATCGCCCGATGGCGGACTTGAACCGTCGCCGTCTTCTGGATCAGATCTCAAGATCGTGCTATGCTTGGAAACTGACCAACCGAGAACGTGCCTCGTGTGCTGCGGATGAGGCCACTACTTCGATGCAACCGAGCGACGCCTCGATTCCCTCAGTGCCGTCTTCTGGCAAGAAAGTGGCCTTCTCTCCCGCTAAGCAATTAAAACCGGATCATGTGTCTGGGATCAGGAAAATCTGGGTCCGGAAATTCGGCCCACCAACCAAGCCCATATCTCACCATCCCCCATCCTTCTGTGGACCCAGAGAACCCATTGATTCCGAGCCCTTATCATCCTTTGAGACCCTCCCAGTCGGCCCAGCTTCTTATGGGCGGCTGGGATTAGCCCCTGTCCTAGCCTCTTCTGCTCCCCTTCCCAGCCCACAACCTCCCCCACCCTTCTGTGAACCCATTGAACCTGAGCCCATAACATCATCTGAGACCCTCCCCGTCGGCCCATCCTCTTCTGGGCGGCCCGGACTAGACCTTGCCCCAACCTCTTCTGCTCTCCTTCCTAACCCACCCCCTAAGCCCAACCCCTCCTTTGTACTGTGCAAACCTTTTTCTTTCTCCCCAGCTCTTGTTTTCGACTCCTTCATTTCCCTTCTCAGTCTCTCCATCCCCCAATCCATCATCTGCAGACACCCTTCGATCCCTTTCCATCCCGGCCCCATTCGCCTCCTCGATTCCTCTTTGCCACCCCCTCTCCCTGAACCCCAAAATGCCGATACCGCTATCCCTGACGAAAGTCTTAGCCCACCCTCGCCTAATTCATGTTGTAGCTCCCCTGCCTCCCCGGTCCTTGTCTCCCCTGAACCTGTTGCCCAGGAGTGCCTTGCGATCACTACCTACAATCCTCTCAACTCAGAATACTTCGAATCGTGGCGGTCCAAGCAAGATTTACTTAGTCTGGTCTCACAGTGCAAGCTGTTCTGCGATATCCTCAAATTATCGGACTCGGTATCTGCTGATAGTGCCAAACAAAAAGTCAGCCTGATCGCGGCGGATACCCACCGAAAGAGGAAGAGAGAGTCGAGGTCTAAATTAGAAATGGAGCTACGCAGGCTGGGTCTTGACTCCCCTCCCCCTATCTACAGATCCCGAAATCGATCCTCCCAGTGAAGCTTGTCGAGAATCTTGGTACTACAGCGGGTAATTGATCCTGATGATTCATTCTGTCATTGCTTGGAATGTGAGAGGGTTAGGTAATCCTAACAAAAGAGCTAAGATTAAAAGGCTGTTGAAGAGATGGAATCCGTCTATTGTTGGCCTCACGGAAACCAAATGGAAGTCGTGCAACAACAGGTTGATATCCTCTATTAGTGGCTCCAAGGACAGTGAATGGGTTGCAAAGAATTCAAATGGAGCAAGCGGTGGTATCGCAATTTTCTGGAAGCCTACAATCTATAAGGCCCTTACGATTTGGGAAGGACGTTTCTCGTTGGCGGTTAGGCTAAAGGTTATTGAGACCGAGGAGATCATATCCTTCTTAGTTGTATACGGTCCACAGGAAAAAGAGGAGAAACGGGAATTTCTGAAAGAGATCGAGATGGTTTGCAGGGAGTACCTGGCTGCTCTATGTATCATTGGTGACTTCAATCTTGTTAGAACAGAAGACGATTTCATTGGCTGCCCTCGGGATTGCGAGATCATGGAAGAGTTTAATAGTATGATTTGCAGATGCAATCTCGTTGAACTTCCTTTACAGGGGGCGAGGTATACCTGGAGCAGAGGCGGTTTGAATAAATCTTCGTCCCGAATTGACAGAGCGTTGATTAATACAAGCTTTGAACAGATGGTATCTCCGGACGCTCTTACTGCACTTG